TCTCTTCAATAAATGGCACTGGGAAAGTTGGAAAGTCAGATGCAAAAGAATTAAAGTAGATTACAGCCTGTCCCCAGGTACAAAAATTAATACAAAGTGGGTCAACGACCTAAATATAAGATCTCAAACAATAAATTGCATAGAACAAAACATAGGTCCTAAACATAGGAACCTTGGTTGTAGAGAACATTTTATGAATTTGACCGCAAAGGAAAGAAATGGAAAAAAATAAATGACATGAACTATATCAAACTAAAAAGCTCTGTGCAGCAAAAGAAACTGACAACAAAACAAAAAGGCAACCAACTGAATGGGAGATGATATTTGCAAACAACAGCTCCAACAAGGGGCTAATATCCAAAATACATAAAGAACTCAGACAACACCAAGCAAACAAACAATCTGATAAAGAAATGGGCAGAGGACCTAAACAAGCAGCTCTCCCAAGAAGACATACAGTCAACAGAATATGAAAACATGTTAAACTTCACTAGCTACTAGGGAAATGCAAAGAAAAACTACAATGTGATACCACATCACACCTGTTAGATGGCTATTATCAACAAGACAGGTAATAACAAGTGTTAGAGAGGTTGTGAAGAAAAAGGAACGCTCATTCACTGCTTGTGGGAATGTAAACAGGTACAGCTGTTATGGAAAACAGTATGGATGATTCTCAAAAAATTAAGAATAATCATAGAATCCAACAGTCCCTCTTCTTGAGTATCTACCCCCAGGCTCAAAAACATTTATTCACAAAGATATATATACCCCTGTGTTCATAGCAGCATTATTCACGGTGCCAAGACATGGAGAAAACCCAAGTGTAGTACCATAGAGGACTGGATAACGATGTGGTACGTACATACTATGGATGTTGCTCAGCCATAAGAAAATGAGATACTGCCATTTGTGATAACATGAACTGACCTTGAGAATATAATCCTATGCAAAAAATGTCAGTCAGGCCTGTTCGGCATGGCTCAGTGGTTAAGTGTTGACCTATGCACCAGGAGGTCACAGTTCAATTCTCAATAAGGGCAGGTGCCCAGGTTGTTGGCTCAATTCCCAGAGTGGGGTGTGTAAGAGACAGCCGATCAATGATTCTCTCTCATCATTAATGTTTCTACCTCTTTCTCTTCCTCTCCTTTCCTCTCTGAAATCAATAAAAATAGATTTAAAAAGAAAAAAATGAAAGTGAGAAAAACTTAAGAACAATATGATTTAATTCATATGTGAGATATAAAACTGAAACTGATAGTCACAGACTACATCATGGTGGTTACCAGACAAAAGAAGGTGGAGGGTAGTAAAAGGGGAAGAAAAAGCAAAAGCCAAATGTATGGTAATGGAAGATGATTTGACGAAGGTTTGTGGGCACACAATGTAATGTTTAGGTCATATATCATAGAAATATACATTGCAAACCTATATGATCATATTAACCAATGTTACCCCAATAAATTTAATACAATAAATAGATAAATTTCAAAAGAAAGAAAAGAATTAAATTATTTCATTCTAGTTGCCAAAATAATAGGGGCATTGAAATCACAAGGGTCTTGGCTACCTGAAGACACTGAATCACAGACATTAACTTGCCTGAGGTCCAACTCTAAGAAGAGGAATATGCCCAGAGGAACATAAAGCAGGTGAAAGTACGATTTTTAATTGGGGAAGTCAATGGCTGAGGTGCAGGCAGAGGGAGTTTCTGACTAGATTCCAGCATAGATCATGCCTCCCCCACCAAAATGAAGGATAAGCACCAGGAACAGCTTGATGGGCAGATGACCTCATGGAGGCCTGTGAGTCGTGCCTGTAGATGGGTCCTGGCTGCTGCTAGGAGTTAGAGGCCCTGAGAGCTCAGCCAGTGCATCTGGGCAGCACTGGGTGTTCTGAGATAGGAGAGGTGACATGTGAGAAGCTGGAAGTGTTGAAGGAGTTTGGAGACTAAGAGAGCAAACCAAAGTAAGGTTCAGGCTAAACTAATTTATCTGGCTGCTTTTTTCCCTCCCCCAATAATCCAAAGTTCACATGAGTTATTATTTTTTTTTATTTTTTTTCTCAGTACCTTGAATTCACACCAGGTGGCAACCTTCCCTTGTGCCTCCTCTATCAAACTGTTTCCAAAAAACATTTCCACCAGACTTTCAATTTCTTGTTTTAATTCTTTTCTCAACTCCAGTCATTAGTGCCTCTGTGCCTACTCCATTATTTCAATCTCATTGGCAAAGGTCAACAAAGGCCCTAAGTTGCCAGCCTTATGGTTAATCTTCCTCCCTAAGTCATCAAAACTTTTTTTTTTACACTCTCTTACTTCAGATTCTTATTTTAAGCTTAGCTTCATGGTATACCCACCGAGTCCTTTATGCTTTGAGAAATATCCCATAACATATACCAGTGTATGGTATGTGAGCCCCGCACCCTGTGGGACTCTGAGGAAGGCCATCTGGAAGTGGACCGTGGGACCTTGGGAGCCTGGTGAGTGTGTGAGCCCAGACTGCAAACTGCAGGGAAACAGCTGGCATTTTGATCTCACACAGTTTGCACACAGGTACACCCACCCCTGCCCACACCTGCTTGCTTTGTTTTCTGGACTCTCTATAACCATGAGCTGTGAAAGCCTGTGATGCGGAAACCTTCACCAGCAGGGCCCACCGGTGTCCACATAAGTCTAATAAACCCATGTCTCTCCAAGCCAGTCCTCTGGTTTATTTCTTTAAAACCAGCAGGCAAGCCCTAGCCGGTTTGGCTCAGTGGATAGAGCTTAGGTCCCAGGCTCAATTCCCGGTCAGGCACATGACCGGGTTGTGGGCTCGATCCCCAGTATGGTACATGCAGAAGGCAGCCAATCAATGATTCTCTCTCATCATTGATGTTTCTCTCTCTCTCTCTCTCTCTCTCTCTCTCTTGCTGTCTGCAATCATAAAAAAAAAAATTGGCAAGCAACACACTGATGTTTCTCTCAGACATCAGCTCTTTGCAGAAAAAGTTGTATAGTTGAGTTTGTAGAGGCAGGATGGGAGGTGGTGTGAATGTAGTGGGGAAAATCCTAGGTGGCAACCCTGATTGACAGTTGGGGACCACCTGGAAAACGCCAATAGGAGTATTTTTGGACCTGGAATCAGTGGTGCCAATGCTGCCACTGGCAAATGAAAGGAAAATAAAGAAAATGGGTCTCTTGCCTGGCCAGAGTGGCTCAGTTGGTTGAGGATCATTCCACAAACCGAAAGATCACCAGTTCAGTTCCTGATCAGAGTACATGCCTGTTTCAGGCTCCATTCCCAGTAGGGGGTGTGCAGGAGTTAGCCAATTGACGTTTCTCTCTCTCTCCCTTCCCCTTCCTCTCTTTCTCTAAAATCAATAAAAACATATTTTAAAAAGAAAAGAAAATGGATCTTTCAAATCCCCCAAATTCTTCTGGGGGCCCTGAGGAAGCTGTGGTCCCGGGGACAGTGCAGGAATTGGTGCCTCCCCCAAACTCTGTGTGGGCAGCAGGAGCAGTAGGGGTGACTGCCCCACCCCACTGTTAGAGGTGGTGGAAGTTGTCCAAGCCTAATGCCCTCCCTCATCTCCAGCCATTTTAAAAGTTGGCAAGGACACTAGGTAATTAAGCAACACACTAAAGGAATGCAATAATCACCAAGAATCCAAATGTTGGTTTAAGGTTAGTGAAGGTCTTTCAAAGTTATTAACATAAAATACATGTTTGTGTTGCCTGCGTTTACAAAACAAAGTTCATGTTATTAATCTCTGTTACAAAAGTTCTCAAGAAAATGGCTTGGGCAATAATTAACTTTAAAATCACATACAGTTGGTAAAAACAAATACATTTGAATCTGTGAATGAATATATTTTGTACTTTATTTGAAGTATGTCGCTTGAAAATGTGAGTCTATTTGACAATGAAAAACACCTATATCTAGAAGTTGTGAAATGTATTCATAAATTTGTCAATCCAAAAAGATGCTACTTACTTGCTTTTAGATGTCACTACCAGTTAAGTTTTCTAAGATTTAAGAATTCTAATTTAGTTGGAAAAAAGTATATGGTTTTGGTAATGGAATGTGTAAGTTGTCTGTCTCCCTAGCAGCCTGGGAGAAACTCAGAGTCAAAGCTGGTGTGTCTGTGTCCCGAGCACAGGGGCCAGCACACCAGAGGTGGTAGCGGATGTTGGCTACACGGGATGAGATGCAATTCTTTCCCTCACTCTCTCCACTACCAGGTGAGGACCATGTTCTGGTTTGTATCACTTCCCACCCTTCTGTGTGTGGGGACAGTGTCCTTCTCAGAACCCACAACCTGTGAAGATGCCCAGAAGGCCTGCTCAGTGATTGCCTGTGGCATCCCGGTCACCAATGGCACCCCAGGCAGAGATGGGCAAGACGGAGCCAAGGGAGAAAAAGAAGAACCAGGTACCCGAGGCTGGTCTGACTTCTTGAATCTTTACTCCCCAGAGGGATCTGGGACAGAGCGATGAGCAGGCTCCCCTTACATTATGATGGGGATGAATCTCTCAGGATAATTCCTGTACATTGTCATTTTCTCCTAAACAAAGACGCTGCTGTGACCTCGCTCTCACCTTTCCACGCAGGCATCGGTGGTGTGTGATTGTCCGTAAGAGGTGGTATCTGCAGCCTGCTCAGCTGGCGCTGGAGGCAGGAGGTCTTTCTTTCTCAGGTCACCACTAGTTTGCTGGTGGTTTCTAGAGTCAGCGAGAATCTAGTGCTGAGCTTTTGGAGGAAGAGAATGAAAGACAGACACTGGGTCACATGTCCTTCATCTTCCAACAGGGCAGGGGCTCCGAGGCTTGCAGGGCCCTCCAGGGAAACTGGGGCCTCCAGGAAGTAGAGGGGCTCCTGCGCCGCCAGGAGTGAAGGGTCAAAAAGGAGATCGTGGAGGCAGTTCAGGTAAGGAGCTCATCTCAGCATGGTGTGGGCTGAGGGGACTGGCTGGGGAACTGGAGGGCCAGGTGGGAGGGGCCCTTCTCTGCTGCCCCACTGGCAGACCTCCCCTCTGCTTCCTGAACCAGCACTCTCACTCCTCCCAGTCCTACTTGGGGCCTGAAGGGATTCCCACAGGCGCCTGAGAACAGACTTGCTACCCTGCTGGCCACCCCTCAGTGGCCCCTGCTGATGGGCCAGCTCCCTCAGCTGGAGCAGCCTATGCCAGGCTCCAGGATGCGCGGGAGGAAACCAGTCCCCTCTGGGGTTGGGTTGAAGTCTGTTGTCACAAGAGTGGCAGGAAGATGGTCTGCTTCATAAGATCCCTGGTGCAATAGAGTAATGAATAGAGTAACTGAATAAATTCATCCAAAGTGAAATAAAATAATTAGTAGCAACAAAACAAAAGTGATGGCCTCACATAAATATTTGCCTGCTGGCCCATCATGATTATAAGAATATTAAAAGCTCACCTGGAATAAGAAATGAAAGCATGATTAAGAAAATTTTTCAAAAAAGGAGAATAGGTTCAGTCTTTTCGTATAAATGAGTGTAATATTACAGTATTTAAGCAGTATGTGAAGAAAAAAATCCAGAGCTATAGTTTGCAAGTTACCGTTACTGCTATTATTATTACTAGTTTCAGAGTTACAGTTTATAAGAGTTATGAATTATGTCTGAGAAGGCAGAAATACAGTTAGGTTTTATTGTTTTGCTTCCTTATTTTTCTAGAATAAGCATACTTCTTAATAAGCTTTTTTCCCCCAAAAAATACTCTGTTCTTGAATTTAGGGTCTTTTTCTCAATATATGCCCTTCTCCCATTGCTTTGCAGTTACGGAGACTAAGCTGGCTAACATAGAGAGAGAGCTGAGGAGCCTGGAGGCGGAACTGGACCGCATCAAAAAATGTAAGCCTCTTCCTGCCCCACTGGGTTCCCGCTCTCCCCTTGTCCTTGAGCGCTCTGGGCTTTCAGGAGGTGGAATAGAACTAACAATTATGAACACGAATTATATACCAGGGCCTGTGCTAGGTTGGCATTTTCTCATAATATGGTTTCATTCTGTCCCCTCATCACTGCTGTTTGTGAGCATTATGCTTATTTAATTTACAAGTGAGAAAAAATAGGTCCAGGATTTGTAGACAATTCATTCAGCATCACCCAGGTGGGAAGCAGCAAAGGAGAGACTGCATGGAGGTCTGCTGCCTCCAAATCTTCTCTCCTTCCTCAGCACCCACTGTACTCAGATGGCTGTCCCTGCTCCTTTCTATCCTGGGGTCCAAGCCTGGCAGCAGGGCCCACGACTGTTACCCTGTCCACCTGCACTGGGGCAGTTTGTGCCTGGGACTGTCTCCAGGACAGGCTCCCCCAGGAGAGGCGGGGCTCTGCCAGGGCCTTCCCTACCCTGAGGAGCTCCTCCTCACTGGGACCTGACCTGAGGGGCTTGCACATGGGCTCCTTTTCAGAGTCCTGACTCCCAGACAAGGGTGTGGTCACCTACTGGCCTGGGCTCCAGGCCGAGTCAATCCCACCCGTCCTTTGTGATTTCAGTGCACACCTTCTCCTTGGGCAAGAGATCTGGAAAGAAGCTCCATGTGACCAACGGTGAAAAGATGCCTTTTCCCAAAGTGAAGGGAGAAGTCTTGACAGAGCAGTTTAGATAGAGATTGAGGCCCAGGGAGCTCCCATGCCACTCAGTGCATTAGGCATGGAGATGCTTGCCAACCTGTTAAAGCTGGAGGAGTTAATGGTCACACAGATTCAGATCCGTGGGGCCCATTCCAGGAGCAAACTCTGCAGGATCTCAGAACTTTTCAGTCTTTGTTACCTGCCATTTTGTCCAAAGTCATTGTGGCCTGAACACTGATCACCTGTTTCTCAAGTCCATAGAAAGCCAGACCGTGAAAGTTAGAATGGTGAGTCCACCTTGCTCTCAAGATGGGAACCTTGAATTTGAAGTACATGTAAGTCAACGGTCTCCTGAGGGAATATAGACCCAGCCAGTGGGATTTGCTTCCGCAACCAGAAGAGAAACTGCTACCAAAGCTTGCAGCGTTCAAGGCCCGGCTCCAGCTGGGCTCTGCACCTGGAATTGCAGGGCCTCATTCCTGCAGGATCATCTTTCTGTGGAGCCCTAAGGCTCTGCTGTTCTCACTCTCAGCCATGCCCACGCCAGAGGATGGGGACTTGGGGTACAGGCTATTGGCCTGGCATTCGCATTCCCCAGCCCTCATTTGTGCCCTGGGCCACCTGCTTCCCTCTGTGTGGCCATCAGAGATCCACCAGCGCCGGGTCACAGTCAGAGCTGGACTTGTATTTGCATGTGGCAGAGGGCCTCTGACCTGGAAGGTTGTTTGTCATAATTGTGTAACTGACCTGTGCATTAGAACCTGCCAAGAATCAGGGATTCATACCCATTAACCAGGAAGAGACCAAATGTCATCATGGGGATGTCGAGAAGTGAACTTTGGAGTTTGGAGACTAAGAGAGCAAACCAAAATAAGGTTCAGCTTAAACTAATTTATCTGGCTGCTCTTTTACCCCTTCCCCAATAATCCAAAGTTCACATGAGTTGTTTTTTATTTTATTTTTTCTCTCAGTACCTTGAATTCACATGTGACAATCTTCCCTGTGCCTCCTCTATCAAGCTGCTTCCAAAAAACATTTCCAGCAGACTTTCAATTCCTTGCTTTAATTCTTTTCTCAACTCCAGTCACTAGTGCCTCTGTGCCTACTCCATTATTTCAATCTCATTGGCAAAGGTCAAAAAAGGCCCTAAGTTGCCAGCCTTATGGTTAATCTTCCTCCCTAAGTCATCAAAGCTTTTTTAAAAATCTCTCTTACTTCAGATTCTTATTTTAAGCTTAGCTTCATGGTATACCCACCGAGTCCTTTATGCTTTGAGAAATATCCCATAACATAAACCAGTGTATGGTATGTGAGCCTCGCACCCTGTGGGACTCTGAGGAAGGCCATCTGGAAGTGGACCGTGGACCTTGGGAGCCTGGTGAGTGTGTGAGCCCAGACTGCAAACTGCAGGGAAACAGCTGGCATTTTGATCTCACTAGTTTGCACACAGGTACACCCCACCCCTGCCCACACCTGCTTGCTTTGTTTTCTGGACTCTCTATAACCATGAGCTGTGAAAGCCTGTGATGCGGAAACCTTCCCCAGCAGGGCCCACCGGTGTCCACATAAGTCTAATGAACCCAGGTCCTTCACAGCCAGTCCTCTGGTTTATTTCTTTAAAACCAGCAGGCAAGCCCTAGCAGGTTTTCTCAGTGGGTAGAGCTTAGGTCCCAGGCTCAATTCCCAGTCAGGGCACATGCCCGGGCTGTAGGCTCTATCCCCAGTATGAGGCGTGCAGGAGGCAGCCAATCAATGATTCTCTCTCATCACTGATGTTTCTATCTCTCTCTCTTGCTCTCTGAAATCATAAAAAAAAAAAAAAAAATCAGCAAGCAACACACTGATGTTTTCCTCAGACCTTAGCTCTTTGCAGAACAAGTCTCGTAGTCCAGTTGGTGGAGGCAAGACGGTAGGTGGTGTGAATGCAGTGGGGAAAACCTAGGTGGCAATCCTAATTGACAGTTTCAAACCACCTGTGTGCTGGGCTGCATATCTGGTGCTTTGGCCAGATAGCTCATGCTGTGCTGTCTGTTCCTAAAATACATAGATAGGAAGGTACTGACATCAGTCCAGGCCTTGAGATATGGTCTCATGGCCCCTTCCCAGCACGCAGGCCTTCTTTCTCAGAAGGCCCGGAAGTCTCATTCCAAATTTGGAGAGACAAAGGACTGGAAAAAGTATGAATAAAGAGAGTTTCCTCCATATTGGGGGCCCAGAATTTGAAAGGCACATTTTTCTCTGGGCCTCCATAGAACTTAATAATAAAATGTAACTCTTGCAGTCAGTGCTGCAGTTCAGCCTCTGCTTCAGCAGGGTGCTGTAACTGTAGTTGCTGGCCAGCTCAATAAATCCTCGCTTGCTGTTTAAGACCTAATTGGAGTCGGTGGTCTTATTCTCGAGAATGTTGCTCCACAACACCAGTAAAACGCCAATAGGACTATTTTTGGTCCTGGAATCAGTGGTGCCAAAGCTGCCACTGGCAAATGAAAGGAAAATAAAGAAAATGGGTCTCTTTACCGCCCTTCTCAAAGAAGTAATGTGTACCCTGAAATTAATGGATTTTATTCCTAAGAATTTTTTATGTTATTATTACACATTTTTTTTTATCCAAAAGTGGTATGTGATGTTGTATGGCATGGTTTTGAGCTACAAATGGTATCACACTAAGTTTGTCATTCTGCAGTTTGATTTTACCTTAACGTCCTATTTTTGAGATTTATTTTCATTGATCCATTTTATGTGGTATTCCATTTTAAGAATATGCCCCCAATTTGTCCATTCATCTCTTCATAAACATTTGTATAGTTTCTGGGGTTTTTTCAACTATTGAAAGTCATGCTACAATGAAGATTCTTGGGCCTGTCTCCTTGTGCCTAGTTATATACTTAAGAGTGAAATTGCCAGGTATGTGTGAATATTGAACTTTATTAGATGTTGCCAAATTGTTCTTCAAAGTGCTTGTGCCAATTTTCATGTCAGCCCCATTCTCAGTCATTTTATAAATACTTTCTTAAGATATAATTCACATGCCATAAAGCTCAGCAGTATAAAGTAGGTAATTCAGTGAATTTTGATATATTTACAGAATCCTACAACCATCACTAAAATGTAATTATAGATATTTTTATTTTATCACTCCCAAAGGAAGCGTTGTACCTATTGGTGGTCACTCTTCATTACTCATCATTCCATTTTCTCATGCCCCAGCCCTATATAACCACTAATCTACTCTCTGTCTCTATAGATTTGTCTTTTCTGAACTTTTGTATACCAGTAGATGCCATCATACAATATGTGGTCTTTTGTAGCTGCTTTTCTTTCACTTACCATAATATTTTTGAGATTTACCCATATTGCAGTATGTATCAATATTTCATTCCCTTTTTTCTGCTGCTGAATAATCTTTTACTTACCCATGGGTCATTCTATGGACATTCGGTTTGTTTCCACTTTATGGTCATGGTGAATAATGCTGCTATGAACAAGTTTTTGTATGAATATATATTTCATTTATTTGGGGTATATTTGGAATTTGGGGGCATGGGTCATCTGATAACTCTATGTTTAACATTTTGAGGAACTGCCCAAAGAAGCTGCAATATTGTACAATCCCACCAGCAATGTACCAGTGTTTCAATTTTTCTTCACCTTTGCTAATATTTGTTATTTTCTGTCTTTTATCATAATTAATCTAGAGGTTATGAAATGTCATTGTGGTTTTGATTTGCATTTTCTTAATGGGAAACTTTACACATGTTTATTGGTATTCCTTTATATTTATAGGAATTTCTATTTAAATTTTTTATCCATTTTTAAAATTGAGTTTTTGTTATTTTTATTATTGAATTTTATGTGTCCTTTATACAGTTTGAATACATAAATCAGATATATGATTTACAAAAAAAAAAAAAAAAGAAAAGAAAATGGGTCTCTTGCCTGGCCAGAGTGGCACAGTTGGTTGAACATAATCCCATGAACCGAAAGATCACCAGTTTAGTTCCTGATCACGGCACATGCCTGAGTCGCAGGCTGCATCCCCAGTAGGGGGTGCACAGGAGTTAGCCAATTTTTGTTTCTCTCTCTGTCATTTTCCCTTCCTCTCTTTCTCTAAGGTCAATAAAAACATATTTTAAAAAGAAAAGAAAATGGTTCTTTTAAACCCCCAAAATTCTTTTGGAGGCCCTGAGGAAGCTGTGGTCCCAGGGACAGTGCAGGAAATGGTGTTTCCCCCAAACTCTGTGTGGGCAGTAGGAGCAGTAGGGGTACTACCCGCCCCCCACCGCCCCCCGAACTGTGAGAGGCAAAAACTGACACTTTAAAAACTGAAGTGGTGGAAGGTGTCCAAGCCTAATACCATCCGTCATTTCCAGCCTTTTTAAAAGTTGGCAAGGACACTAGGTAATTAAGCAACACACTAAAGGAATGCAATAATTACCAAGAATTCAAATGGTGGTTTAAGGTTAGTGAAGGTCTTTCAAAGTTATTAACATAAAATACATGTTTGTTTTGCCTGGGTTTACAAAACAAAGTTCATGTTATCTCTGTTACAAAATTTGTCAATAAAATGGCTTGGGTAATAATTAACTTTAAAATCTCATACCGTTGGTAAGAACAAATAAATTTGAATCTGTAAATGAATAAATTTTGTACTTTATTTGAAGTATGTCGCTTGAAAATGTGAGTCTATTTGCCAATGAAAAACACCTATTTCTAGAAGTTGTAAAATATCAATCCAAAAAGATGCTAATTACTTGCTTTTAGATGTCACCACAAGTTAAGTTTTCTAAGAATTAAGAATTCTAATTCAGTTGGAAAAAAAGTATATGGTTTTTAGAGGCCTTGAGAGCTCAGCCAGTACATTATGTATATGAAACCATAATATGGTTTCCTGAGTATTAAACATTACAGTAGTTAATGTGTAAGTTGTCTGTCTCCTTAGCAGCCTGGGAGAAACTCAGAGTCAAAG